ATTATCATTCATTTTTTGTATTAAAATTTCTTTTAATTTCATTCACTATTAGTTTTAAATTATAAGAATTATAGTTCTTCATTTTCTATCATCATTATCATTCACTAAATCCTAATTAAAACTTTCTAACCATTCAATACTTTTTATTTTTTCATTCTTCATTGTATTCTATCTATCTCTAATCTTTAGATTACTATTAGCATACAAACTGATTCTAAAAAAATAAAGAATTAAATTAAAGTTATGGGCATTCATGAATGTATGAATGCAAATACAATACTACAAAATAAAGCCTACTTCCAACCTCCTTTCCAAATTTATGTTTCAATTTTTATTTATGCACCAAAATCCCAAATAATTGGCTTCAGACATTAGTAACCCCATGATTTCTTACAATCTAGAATATCAAATTTATCTCCAGTTTCATCATTTTGGTTTTATTCACGATTAATTAGGGATTATGATATAGAAATTTTGTAGAGGATTATATCAATTTTGTTCTGTCTATATTGTTCTTTTACTCTTTCCTAAAATTAGAAGGAACAATTTTTTTTCAAATTTTAATCATAATATTATAGTTAATTTGGTGCCCCTCCTTGCTTTAGAATCTTTAAATTTAGAGAATATGATAAAAAAATAACCTAAAATTTGTGATAAAAAACTATTAGTTAGACATCTTAAGTATAGATCAAAACCAAATAAAACTATACTTAGAAATGATATTAATATATCTAAACCAAATGTCAGTTTATTAACTTGATTTAGATTAATAACATAGGTGAGAGCTTCTATTAATTAAAAAGTATTATCAATCAAAACACTTACTTTTGGGGCATGGAGATTTTAGTTTCATGATCTTTTATAGGCTTTGAAAATGAAGCTTAAGAGTTCTAGCTGTTACAAAATTTTATTTGGATTTAATACTAAAATTTAAATGTAATTAAGATAAATAATACTTTAATAAATAGTTGTTGAATGTAAGAAGTTTTATATGCACGTTAAAGTTTAATTGGGTTTTCACGGGAAAGAGAAAACAAAAAGTCACATTTTCTTTTTCTTTTTCGATTTAGGCGCTTGTTTAGTATAATAACTAAAATTTAGCAGATAATGGATAGTGAATAATGGGTAACAGGCGACGAGTAGCAAAAAGTGGATAGTGGATAGTAGATAATGAATTGGATTAATATAACTGTTTAGTTATACAATAATTAGTTGTTATTTAAAATTAAATGACTGATAAGGATATGTTTAAAAACAATTAAATATATTTTTTCTTTTATATATTTTTTATTATTAAAAGTATTAATTTTATAAAAATAATAAAAAATA